AACTAAAGTGGCTGTCTTGAACATGTCAAAAGCTCCCCACGACATAAAGATCTTGACAAAAATTAATAAAAAAAACTTATAACAGTATATCCGTGTACCACTTGTGTGGTAACAGGAAACGCTTGCAATCGTCTACACATATGCACTATTCCGAATACAATGTCGACAAAAAATCCATTTCATATTTTATTTTTTGTATTTATTGGCATGTGGTAATTAATTCCTTTTGTGTTTTGAAAACGTTTAGATTTTTTATCTTCTATTACAAGCTTTTATTTAGTTTCACCCGATGTTTGCTATCAAATATTTCGAATTAAATTTGATCCACTTCCCGGTTATTGGTTGATTGATATCAACAAATGTTGATCTGATGATGGAGTTAAAAGGTGGACATAGGAATTTCGCAAAGACACAACCTCGTGTAGTATGGAATCGCCTGAATCGTCTTGACGAAAAGTTTGTGTATTTTTAGTTCTTTTAATTAACAAGAAAATAACAAAACCTTTATGTTTTTAATTTATAACAAAAGATTACATTTTAGAATGTGTTTCTAAAGATATTCAGTGTGCTTCTTTTTAATTACGCTCCATTCATTAAGGTCCCATCCGGCTTTTTAAACATTAATCAATCTTGTATCTACCAAGTTAAATATTAGGTCGTTAATATATTTAAAAAATATAAGCGCGTTATAAGTTGTCAAGTTCAACGCCTGTTCATTGTGGTTTGGGTATTTTTTTTACTAATAACAGTTGAGTTTTTGTTACTAAATTTAAATGACTAAGCCATGATATTAAAACGCTATTAGGCTAGATTGGTAGAGCGATATATCATTCGGGGGCGGTGATTTTATCGTGGCTAAATGCGAACAAGAATTTCGATGTCTCAATTTTTTTTTATTATCTTTTTTTGCCGAACCGAAAACAATGTTGGCTATTAACGGGTCAGACGGATGTATCAATGCGAAATGAATTCGTAACCGCAATGTTTTCTGATTGTTTATGTGTGAGCGGTCAGTGTCTCACGGTGCGAGACGGTCAGTGATACATCAGAATAGACCCCCCAAAACGTGTTATGCTTAGTTTCGTCATAAATAAACCATACTTTATATATTATAAATGCGAAAGTTTGGATGTTTGTTTGAAGGTCTCTCCAGAACGTCTGGACGAATCTCGCTGAAATTTAGCATAGATGTAGAACATAGCCTGGACGAACACATAGGCTACTTATGCTTTCTTAATACCACGTGGATGTAGTTGCAGGCCACAGCTAATTAAAATATATATCTAATTAAGAATGTCTACAGTTTGTGATTCATTCCGCTTGTTCGTGTATATGTCCTGTAAGATTTCTTAAATGTATATTTCCTGTGACGGTAAAAAAAATTGTTATAATGCATTTAATATTAAATATTTAATTTATTCATTTAATGAACTTGCTACAGTACCACATCTGTGATCAGAAAACTCAACGGTGCGTGAAATAACAAACGGATTAAGTAAAGATGACGAGCTACAATTTGACCGCCGACTGGGGGCCGTCGTCACACAATACAATACATAAACCTGCCCAGTCATACATAAATCATCAGCTCCCGTACATCAGAAGTGTTGAATTTGGCGTTGCCTTAACAATTCGTAGGGATACCGGCTACTTATATAGTTGTCATCCTCATAAAACGATTGTAAGGGGCGGAAGATTCTTTTTTCAATCGATATCTCACTGGGAGGCGACCACACCGACTCCGACGTTTCTATCCTCGACCGCGCCTATCCGTAAACATAATAAAACTTAATATTTACGTTTACTCTAAGCAATAAAGATACAATGAGCAAGTACTGTAAAATGTTATCCATTGCTCGTTTTACCCTTTTAAAACCAAGGGAATATCAACTCTGTTTTTAAGGTGAAAAAGTATATTTTACATTGTGTAGTTTGGAGGGTCGCGAGTCGATTCTCGTTGTCCGTTTATAAAACTTATTTGTAAAGTTGCGTATTGTCTTAGAGGAGTGATATTTGCGTTTCGTAATAGCTAAGATAAGCCGGGGATGGGAAAGCGGGTACGATGAGAAGTGATTCATTCCAGCCGGCCTTTTTTATCCTTATTTATTTTTAGCAGTGAGTTGTTTCTTGTATTTCTTAGTAGTTTAACGTAAACAGGGTTGCTAATTATCTTTCTTTAGTATCCATTATTGACAAAAGCTTGAAATTGACATGTAAAATATTGTTTGGGGTTTGCGCGAGCATTGTCCTGTCAAAAACCGCCCACAGTATCAATAATGAATTAACTCTTTAGACTTTAGAACCTCCATAAAATGAAGCAATATTTTACAATCTAGAAATATATGGAAATGTCTAACTAGATTATTTTCTAGACATATTTCACAGTTATAAGCGAAATATTCTTTCGAACAAATTCTAGAGGACAATCGAAAATCATTAGGACTGGTTGTATTGAAAAGTTTTATTGCTTGAAACTTCTGGGACAAAACTTAAACACAATTGTTAATTATCGACGGACTTTAGTGGAGCATGACGAAATTTGCAACTGTATCATATTTGTCATTCAAAAATGTGCCTTTATTCTATATACTTAAAACTGATAATTGTTTGATAAATATTTATTAAGTCCATTAATGGTAAAGGTGGTCATAATGAGGCTTTTCACTTTCACTGGTCGAATTTTTACGCTGCCCTTTTATTGCGGACTTCTGTTTAATGGATGTTTTTGTATAAAATGTAATCGATTTTCGCCTTTATTTGTATAGCAATACGACTGTTATCCTTTGTACATATGCTTTTAATTTAGAACAATTATCTTGCGGTAAGAAATCCCATGGGGAGTTATGATACAATACAAGCTAATTTATGACATTTTTCTGACTTAAAACAGGTAATAAAAATTGCTAATTATTATTAAGATTTTACCTTTATTTAGTGAGATTGTTCTCTGTATAATATGGACACCCTACTCGAATTGCGGGCAAAGAATTAAATTTAAAACAGTCCAAATTAAGCACCAAAACATGAATAAAGCGATTTCTTGGACTTATAACTGACCCAATTAAATATATCGATACAAGTAATTTTTAGTTAATTTTAATAACAACTAAGTATAGTTTAACTACTTTCTTCTAACCTAGAAAAGAATTTCTATTGATATAGGATTGATTGAAAAAAATATTGAAGGAGACTAAGGGACACACAGCTGCTCTTTCGTTGTCAATAAGAGGCGTTTACACGAATGTTCAATTAACCGAAACATTTGATTGTCATATGTCATCCATATGTGCTTGACACGCGCTGTTTTTTCTATCTCCACTTACTCTTGAGAAGCAAAAAATATGCAGATGAATTAAATTAACGAACACTGTAAACAAATATATTATATATATACATAAATTCGAAAAAAAAAAAATAATTAAATAGTATCCTATGTCCGTCTTCTGGCTCTAAGTTCCTCACCAATTTTCAGCCATATCGGTAAAGCCGATCTTGAGTTATAAATAGTGTAACTAACACGACTTTCTTTTATTTATATAGATAATTATTTCGTATTTTCGACAAGAAGCTGTTACTTTAATAAAGAATACGCATTATGTTCGTAAATCTAAATAATTTCTCACAATTCACTCTATTAAAAGTACACAAATAATGCTATTTAAGTATCATCAAAGTAACAATAAATTATTCTAAAAATAATTTAATAGCGAAAGAAGTTTATATATCTATTTATTAAGTTTAATTTTCAAATAATAAAATGTTTGTAGTGGAAATGACTGGTTGTAAGAGAGACCGCCCGCGTTGAAATCTTTCGTATGCAGCTATATTCTGTAGACGACGTAGCGAACTCTTCGTATTAATGATGTATACATGCTACGAATAAAAGACAATATATTGGATTGCTATATGTTATTTAATTTATGAGATCAGTCATTAAATTGATGAAGTTATTTTCTTTGTTAAGCTTAAAGATTTTTAAATAACTATATTGATATTAAAATATATTTTGTTACGATTGGTATATTTTAAAATATTATGTTACTAATACTGATTGTGGTTAAAAAGTACAACGTGTATTTTTTAAAACTTCAAATATCGTTTATTTTTACAAAAGTATTTCCTCATAAGTTTTGCAACTTACATAACTTTGTTAAGCACAGTATACCTTTAAGTTACCTCATTTTTTTATTTATCTTTTATTGTTTTTAAAAAGTAATTATTTATCCCCTTACGATAAGAGAATGAATACATAAGGTTGTAGATTTAAGTTAAGTTAAAGCTTAGAACGAAGAAATAATAGTATTGAAAGTTATCATAATAATTTTACATTTTTCATGTAGCTTTAATACAACTTAGTGCCTTATATCGTTGTGTAAGCACGTGGCAGTGCGTCGGGTCGGAAGGCGCGCGGGCGCAGGCAGGCCGCCATTGGCCGCCGCCGTCGCCCCTCCCACTGGCGCACGCGCACGCGCATCAACCTACGCTCACGTTCAAACCGATTACAGACAATATAGATAAGATTTATCAATTACCTCTGATCTATTTTCGCGGATATTTAAGTCAAATGTATGAGCCAATGGCAGAAAATATTATTTTTTAGGTAAAATAAATATCATTTAGTAAGACATCTATGCATTGGTAATTTATTGAAACTGCAAAGGCATAAATTAACACTACACATTCAATGAAAACTTAAGTAAAGAATTTAAATATAAATCTTAAGTAGATTCAATGTATTATGTCAATGAGAAAAAGTAAATCAAGGTGTGAGCTATGAATGAAAATTTCAATGAATAGAATCACAAAAGTCAATTACAAAGCATTGTGATCCGATAACGTCATATTATCTAACTCGATACAGAATTGCATAACCAACCTAATGACCCAAACACGACAAAGATTACAAAAAAAAAACTAGAAGTGTGAGACCAATCGGGCGGTGAGGCAGGTACGGCCTCCCACCACAGCGACTCCGCCTCGGGCTACGTTTCGGCCGGCAGACGTCAACGTGCCTCGACCGGCCGCGCTCATGTGAAGGCTTGCGCCCGCCCATCGCAGAATGAAGTGTCTGTGGTTGTTTGTGCTCACTGTGCTGTGTACTCGGTGCGAAGCCGCCAACAAGCCAAGGAGAGGACGCGGCAGCATGTGGTGGTAAGTTCTTTTACCGACTCACTAATAATTTTTGCAATTTTGACTTTACCCCCATATATTCATAGTCTATATTTCAATGTACGTTTTTAATGTTTTCATCTTATACATCTGAAGTGCTTGTTTAACACTAACATTTTCTATACATTTGATGCATTCGAAACGCTGTAATAGTTGTTTTAAAACACAAATTAAATTTGCTATACTTAGATGTAACTTGTCGTAAAATATTAGACCAACTTAGATGCAAAACAAAAATCAAAATAACTTAAGTTCTCAGTTAGCGTAATATGTGTATCTTCTAATAAAATATATAACTATATCTTGAGTCTATAGCATATATTTATGTATTAATGTAAAATAATTCGGTTATGTGGAATACTTTTACCTTTAGGGAATCTTAATTTTGTTTAGGGAATTTTAAAACAAAGTTCTAGCTCAAACGCGCCGCTCAGTTACGTTCTAACAAGTTAATACTGTCCATTCAACAAGTGGTATATGTTAAGTGTTTTAAATAAGAAGACTAAGATATATATCGTTAGCTATAGTTTTTATTTCTTTAGTAGTTTAAGTAAATTAAGTTACCTAAATAGTATAACATCAGTATTAGTGTTATGGTAAATTATCTAAGAGATTTTAAACCAAGTTTATCCCTTTTTATGATAATAATAATTGAATTGAACTTGTGTAGTTATTATTCTCACTATTATTAAAATAACAGTTTTAATAATTTGACTTAATATTGTCACTTAATAAATGATTTTTCTTATATCTATTAATCTAAGTTGAAAATACTAAATTTTATTGAATGTAAGGTTGACATTTTTCTAGTTTTGTTAAATAAGTGATAGTCCTACATTTTTCTTTAGATCATAAATAAAAGTGGCAGTGTAAAGCTCTGTACACACGTCGCCCGTGACGGACGGGAGCGTCAACTTTATACATATTTACGTTTACTATCACTTCGCTCCCGGTATGCGACCTCCCTAATCCCTATTGTAAAGACTTCGCAATCTACTAGACATGTTATTATTTTAAATTATTTTATCAGAAAAAATTTAAAATGTATTTTTCTTTTTGTTAAATTTTCAAATGTCGTATGACAAAAAGATCCATCTTATTCGTTTAAAGGATTTAAAGTAACTATAATGGTAATTTGTACTTAATTCAAGTTATGTAAGCTCAGTGATTTATCTCACTAAGTTAAGTGAACAGTTCACTCTTTAGTTCACTTAGGTAACACGGGGTTATAAATGCGTTTATGACCAACTTAATGCAATTTTTATTTACTTACAGCTTTAACGATAAAATAAATAAAGAAATCGTAAAAGTTCTTTCACTTATAATTTATTTTAAACATTTAAAAGTATGCGCAATTACACATAATGTGAACAAATCGTTAAAATTAAAATAACTTGCCAATGTATGTTTTAACTTAATTGATGATCGCTATAAAATCACTTAAATACATAAAACTTTAATATTAACAGCAATCATAAATTTTCTTAATCAAATTTATTTTTAATGTTCACTTTCAAAAACTGAATAAAATATTTTTTTTCCTTAGTAACATTTTTAACGCAAAAAAAGTGTATAACAAACATATTACTATTATTGACTAATACACAAAGTACGAGTAGTAACGTAACCTCTACGACTTGGGGTCCTTAAAGAAGCGAGCGTATGACCATCTCAAAGGCCGGCAACGCATCTCCGGTTCCTCTGGTATTGCTGATGTCCATGAGCGTCCTTGAACACCTCGGTGTTCCCGCTGCTCGTTTGCCCCCTTCTATTATAAAAAAATAAATAACGTTTGATTGTCATAGTATAAAATAGGTAAACATTGTGTACTACTGACCTAATAAAAACTACAGTAGGGCAATAAAATTCTAGGTCATAAGACTGACCTATATATGCGTCGGCAAAATTATATTCTTTTTAAAAATTAATTGAATTAATGAATGATAAATTTTGCATTAACTTTAAATGTCAATTAATAATTTTAACACATTAAAATTTACATATTTATCGTTGAATTAAATTAAATAGATTTTAAGAAAAATAATAAATTTATTTTAAAATAAATAATAAATTTCTGTTGTGATAAATACTCTCAATTTTAATAACCGAATTAAATAAATTACATTTTGTAACAGAATATTCATTGAAACGCTAAAATAAAACTATTTATTTAATTTCTTCTAAAACATTCAAAGGTTTTACAGCCGGCGTGCCGTCGGCGGCGTAAAACTTTGATTGTTTATGTTATTAAGTAATTATTATTGCGTTCAATATTATAAAATAAATTTTATTTAATGTTAAAATAATGCAAAAAATTCAATATTATAATTTATTTAACTATTGTTTAAATTGAAAATAAACGACAAAAAGTAACAACATTAAAAAACTTTGTTTTATCATAAAACATTTTTAAACGCAATAAAACGAAAAGTAAGATGCGCACGCGCATTTTCTGACACTTTAAAATACGTTCTGTGAAAAGGTAGTTTTAAATTACTATCGGTTTAACACAAATTACATAACAGTTAAAGGTATGTCATATTTATATCTTATATAATTAACTAGTTAGTAATATTCGGTTGTAACCAGTCATGCGTTCTAGTAATTTTTTGATATATATTTCAAATTGTCGTCATGAAGTTAACCCAAACCAGCATGGTTGACTATGGACTAATCTCCAAACTTAGGATAGGCTCCGAGCCTATTAGTGGGGACGTTTAGTGAATTCATTATGATATAGTTCATAGTCTTATAAATAGTTATTGAAGACTTAAATACAATGATATTTTAAATAGTTCAATGCCGTGTCTAAAATGTTTGTAACGCTATGTTATCTCACACTTATCACTCAGTATCAAAGTGGCTCGTGCTCATTGCATTAAACAAATATATTCGTACTTGTATACACAATCAACTTTCATGGCCGCAATGACGGAGTTTTAGTACACTATGCTAGCTGTGCCCGAGGCTTTGTCCGTGCGGAATTAAAAAAAACTTAATTAGTAGCGTATGTACCTTAAAACTTTTTTTTACATCTATACCAAATTTCAGTAAGATCCATGCAGTTTAGGAGATACATTCTAACAAACATTCACCCAATGCGCATAAGTAAGAAATGTAGTTTTAATTTTGTTTTAAATTATTAAGCGCTGTAACAAAACTGTATGATTTTAAGCAGATAAATATAGTTTCTTGTAACCTTTTTTATTATATTGATTTTAACCTCACTTATTCATTTATTAACCTTATTCTTAATATATTACATTTCATATAAAAAATAAAAAATTATACAAAACATATTATATTAAAAACAGAACACCACCGGCTGCGGAGTCCCATGAATCAAACAACCAGTGGTCAGGGCTGCAGAGACAGGAACCTTCTCACGATGAGTGCGGTTTCTAGGCTAACTGCCTTTTGTATCGGCCCTTAATCCAACTGTTTAGCGAGAGCTACCAACGTTAATATTGATTTTATTATTATTATAACGTATCCAACTTACATCATGATCATATTTGCTTAACTTTATAAATATAACCTTAAATATTCCGACTTTTCCATTAAAGTCTATAATAACGTATTTAAACAGTCTTTAAAGCTTTTTAAAATAACAAAAATACTTCTTTCAAAGTAACAATACTTAGTTATTAATCATCAAGAGCAGACATTTCGTAGTTCTTTGCTGAACCAGACGCTTCTGAATATTCAAAGCGTCTCCGTCGCAGTCGCGATACCAAACAAACAAATGAATTGTGTATGCATTAACCAAATTAACATTTAATTAAGATAGACGATATAAAATTGTATTGCAAACTTTTTTACGGACGAGAATGTTTATAAGGATTTTCAATGTACAATACTTGGATGAAAATACCGGCGGTCAAAGGGTTAAAACACGTCTTTCTTTATTTTTTCAGTACTTATATAGTCCTTGAAACATTACACCTCATTAAATTTTTAAAAGGAGCGTCGGTGGCTCAGTGATCAAGCACTTGACTTGCAATCTGCAGGTCCTGGGTTCGAATCCCGCCATGTACCAATGTGTATTTCGATTTCCGATTTACATATGTACATTTGTCCGAAGTTCTTACGTTGAAGGAAAACATCGTGATGCAACCTGCACAAATCTGAGAAGAAATTCAAAGATATGTGTGAAGTCAACCAACCCGCAATTGGCCAGCGTGGTTGACTATGGTCTAATCACCCTTAACTTAGGATAGGCTCCGAGCCCCTCGGTGAGGACGTATAGTGAGCTGATGATGATGATGAAATTTTTAAAATAATTCAAGGCTTTAAATTAGTTAAAACTCATAACTTAATTCACTTTATAAAACTCTCTCGGAACTATTGTAAGGATGTCCATATTTGTCTGGCAATGAGTAAACTCCATCTAATTCTTCTTGCAAGAACATATACAAAGAAACGTTGTTATACATTTTTACGGCAACACTTCCTACCTTTTTGTATACAATAGCTGTTTAAAAGTATAATTGAAAACTATTGTATACTTGAGTTCTGTTGCTTACAACTTCTAGAAATTTCTAGATAGTTCTTTATAGTGTAATAAAATAAGACTAAATTGTAAAAAACTTTACGAGAAATATATAAAATATTCAATTTAAAAATAAAAGCATTTTTATGTTACTTTTTTGTCCTTAATCTTTAATCGGTGTCACTAATATTATGACAAGTACATTTTCAACAAATTAAGTGAGATGTCAAAATGAGACGATTTTTAATGGAATATATTTCTGGCTAAATTAAATCGTTTCGTCGTTCGCAAATAAAAAACTGCCACACCTTAGTTAATTCGTATTCATCAGGCGTTGTCCATATTACATTACGTACGAAATCGCGTGCCGGCGTCAGGATAGAAATGATAACAGCTACCAATCCAATTTGATCTCCAAGTCTGTTTTATACATCTTTATGACTTATGTTTAAAGTACAAAATTCAAGACAGAAGAGGTCTTAGTAATCTGGACGGTCCAGTACGATATTTTGACGCCTCGTAAGATGCCAACAAATTAAATAATAAAGGTTTAATTTGTATGCGAAATGCGTACGATGAGTCAAAGAAAAACTTTTAAGGGGAAGCTAAACGCTTTGTATGTGTATAGATAAGAAGTGTGTAATATTAAAAAAAAAACATGTTTATCGTTAAAGGAACTACAATAATGTTAAACAAATAATCTAAAAATGGATATATTTAAATATGATTAGTTACAGTTACGATAATATGTTGTAGACATAAGCGTACCCATTCCGCGAATTCTAGATATTAATGTTACCGTGAGTTTTCACTGCTGAAACATTTACGGAAACATTACACGTTTTTGGCTCGAGTCTTACTAATCTTACTAATATTATAAATGCGAATGTTTGGATGGATATATGGATGTTTGTTTGAAGGTATCTCCAAAACGATTGAACAGATCTCGATAAAATTTGGTATACATAAAGAACGTAGCCTGGAAAAATGCATAGGCTACTAATTATGTTTTTTAATTCCTCACGGACGGAGTCGCGTGCGACAGCTAGTCTTTCATACAAGTAACAACAGGAAAACAAAAGAACATATAACATCAGATTATACTTTTCAAAAAATGAAATGTTTAAAAAAAAAAATAAGTTGAAAATGTTTTCCACCTCAATTTCTTTTGAATTAATTATTTGAATTGAAAAAATTTCTATAATCAAATTGTTTAATTTTTTATGTGTAATAGATGTCTGTAATAATTAAGTTGATTTTTGTTCTATATAAATATATTCTACGCACTATAAAGTCGCAAATGGCCTTAATGACCTGAATAGCAAGTGCCGCAAGCCCCCAAAGACAATATTTGTTATTTTGACACATTCACACAGGCTTTATCTTTGTGCAAACATCACGTTTACTTGTGAAAGCCATTCACGATTTTTTCCCGGCCATCTCGTCGCTTGTATTTGGTTTCCAACCAATGTGACAAGTGTAAAGGACTTTACTCATCGCCGGACAAATATGGACATCCCTTCGACCGTTCCCAGACATTAAATAATACTTCTATTTCACTTTGACACTTTTTTTGTTACTTATACTAAGCATTTTATAAAGTGAAATAGATTTTGAGTACTAAGTTACTTATGGTGATTAAGTATTTTAAGTATTTAAAGAGTTTTTAGGTTTCATAGACTAACTGTGCCTTAACATAATTAAAAGTAAATTAGTAATAGTTATGTAAACATGAATTTGTATCGTTCACACCAAAAATTATAGAATTATCATCAAATTAAGTTAAGAAAAGCATGTTTAAGTATAATAAATAAGTTCGTTATTCTATTTTATAAACATATTTAAAACCACAGTATAATTTTTAACTATGAAAAAATAAAATCAAATAAATCCACGACATTTATCATATTATCAAGTTTACCAAGTATTATTCTGGTCAACAAGCTTTTCAAAGAATCTCACAAAACCGTATCATAGTTTTTAAATAGCCGCATTAAGTGTCCAAAAACGCCGCATTGTCGTCTTTATTTCTCGAAGGAAATGAGAATTTCCGACGAGCTATTCATATTTGCGTTACACTCGACTACAAAGAAGGGCAAATAGAAAAGTAATACGATTTCCAGAGCGCCGAGGCATCGCTGTGCGCGACCTCACGTAGTTTTAGTTCCACACCTTCATCAAGTTACGAAAACGTCGGTCGGGAAATGAATGAACGGATACATGGATTGTTCTGTTAACATGAAATAAGAGATGCCGTTCCAAAGCTGTGAATGTATGATGCTTTTGTTTAGTCTTCGAGCGATATATCCACGAGTGAGGCGGACGTCAACAGGGCCGAGATGTCGATCGCTCACGGCCTATGTTTACTCACTGGGCCCTCGACGATTAATGCGCGACGCAAATATTTATCTAAACGTCTGCGGATTGACGTTTCGGTCGTCAATTGTTTGTTGTCTTTACCTTCTCAAATGAGCATTTCATTTCGAGTTGCACCCATTGCCTTAAGTGGCGTTCGGGTTTTGTTTGTTTTGTTTTTTCTTCCCTCCCTCACAATCCTCGGTCTCGCTTGTTTTGGGTGACGACTTCAGCATTGTCTTTTATTATAGTGACAAAAGGGAATATTTAAAGTAAACGAGCAAATATAACATACACAAAACTGCTCTCAATCGATATAATCTCTGATTACCTTACTTCATTTCTTCACATTTAACTAATGTAGCAATGTTTCACAGGGGCATAGCGAAAGCGGGAGAGCCAAACAACATATCACCGATGTCACCTGGCGTCCTATACATGGACGCTGGGGTACACTCCACATTAAGGCGGAAGCAACGGCGACTCGCCAAGGAGAACCCAGGAGTGCTAACAGCTGTCGCGAAGGGAGCCAACATGGCGGTCGCCGAATGCCAACATCAGTTCAAATACAGAAGATGGAATTGCACCACAAGGAATTTCTTAAGAGGGAAGAATTTATTCGGGAAAATTGTTGATAGAGGTAAGCTATATCTTAATCTCTCTTTTAAATATTTTTAACTATAGTTCTTGATATTTAATGTTATTTGATCAATGATAGATTGATTAATATTTCATCTGCATTATTTAAACTAATTAGAGTTACCTTTGTCTTTATTGCTATAAAAACAATAACAAAGGTTAAGATATTAATATATTTTGAATATAGTACATAAACCTTTAAATATTTTGATACGTCGATTTAAGATTTATTAGCTATTCGATAAGTCTCTTAAGCGAACAACTTTAGCAAATTATAAGATAAGCATAATGGAAACTGAATATTAAAATTATTTATTAGAATCTTAATTAGGACCTAACGTTGATCTGGCCTGACAATTTAATACCTGGCTCACGTTCCTCGATCCGATATTTAAAAAATAAGCGGACAAAAAAAAACACAAGGCTTAATTTGAGATTTTAGCAACACGCGTCATTCGTTTGTTTCAATTTTATTATATCGAAACAAAGCTAAACAAAACAAAACTCGACATAAGAAGATAAGCCTCTAAACCTTTTGCAAAATACTTAAGAAATACATTCTCGCTTTTTGTGCTTTAGTTATAATCTTTTAAAAAATGTAATCGATAACTTCTCGCCAAATCTAAAATTCGTACATTGTTAAAAAAGTGAACGGCAAAAAACTGTTGTTTTTTTTATAACAAGTCCCCTACTAATCCCGGTTACAAAGAGTAGCTACAAATTAAGTGATATCTTTAGTTGGCAACCCTTTTAAAAGATTTTATCTATATGCATGGGGAGGGTAGCGCGTCGGGGGCACATATAAAGGGCTCATCAAGATAAAACATCCCGGATCAATTACATGCGACCGAGTGACGTTCGGATTCCCGTTTATCGATGTTGCTTTTTATTTGAATTTCGAATGTTTTTTTTTAAAACATTCGACTTTATTTAGGCCTGCATGTTTGAAACATCAACAATAGTTGTGATTTGTAATCTATAAAAGATTTTTTAGAGCTATTTTTACAGGATTAATATTAAATTTAAAAGAAAAAAAATTAAGAGGTATTTTCATAATTGTTCAATCAGATGTCTTCAGATGTAGTCAACCTAAATAGATATAGGATATAATCTCGGATCTTAATCTATATCAATTCCGCATCGATGCGTTATAGAGAATGAACTAAAACGTGTTTCATCCTCTTAACACCGGTTTACAATTGCGCCGGTCGTTTCCATAGCGTCTATTCAACAGGATTAGATATTATCTATAGATAAAAATCTGCAAAAAGCTCACCATTAGCCATACAATAATGGTTAGACTACAAAATTGAATGCCCTGTCTCCTCAGCGAAAAGGGAACGGTCGTATATTTATTTTCTGTAACGCTCAAGAATCGGAACGCAATAAGAAAGGCGAGATTAATTCATAAAGCACTCACGAAAATTAAAATGTTTACAACAACTTGTCTGTATACTTTCATGTTATCATGAAATTATAATGCGATGCTTATTGCTTTAGGAATAAGGTTGAAATTAGATTGTCTATTCTTTATTTGGATGTTTGAATAAATTTGTCGTGTGGGTCAGGTCTGCCCTATCTCCGGTGTCCGATTTCGATGCTTTGTATGCGATACACCTTATTATGGTCTCGCGAACATCTGGTTCGTACATCGCATTTATTCATTATTACAGCAAAAAGGCCAGACCAGGCAATCAATTTTTGAGTATTTTTTTTTTGGGACGATAAAATTAAAAAGTAATAAATTTTCTACAAAACCCAAGTTAAGGAAGACGAGTTGAAGTCGCGAATGTTCTTGATCAGATGTTCCTTACTTTCGATTCCTGATGTAGGCAGGTGCAGTAGTTTTTTTATTATATAGGAATAGCTGTCCGCGCAGAATTAAAGAAACTAAATGACTCCTTCCAGACTATGTTCTACATCTATGCCAAATACATATTTCAGCGAGATCCATTCATCCGTTCTGAAGATACCTTTTAACAAACATCCATCCATCCAAACATTCGCTTTTATAATACTAGTAAGATAATAATTTGACCTACATTTTTCATATATATAACAACTCGGCCAAAAATAGACGAGAAATATCCGATCTAATCGATAAAAGCGCATAACACTAAAAAGCATAGTTCGGGGTTCAGCTTACATTAGGGGGGGTTATCTTCAAAATTAAGAGCATTCACTCCCGTATCTCGGTCTAATTCGATCTCATTTCGAATTCGGTATGCGAGATATCGGGATCGTACTGACCGGTGCGGTCCGGTTATTGACCCAAAAGCTTCTTACGTTAATGACACGCGCAAACGTTTTGGGTAAACGATGTTTCTATTAGCCTTCACTCTGAAATGTCGCTCGGACACAGAATAAAGACTTATCAGACTCGACTATTAACATACTGACCTTCGATATTACAACTTGACTCTCTCTTTACTTGTAGGTTTACTTGTCTTAGTAGACTTTAATGAACAACATTTAGTGGTTATGACTTCCGCTACAATAGAACTAGGTTAAATCAATTAAGAAATTGCTCACAATCAAACATATGTGTAGTTGGATTTATGTCCTGTCTAATATCTGACGTAATGGCCTCTTAAACATTCATGTCCGCTCTATTAGTATATGTTCTTTCAATTTTGCTATTATTAATCTAAAAGAAGAAAAATTTTAACGCAAAAGTACCTACTAGGAAGTCATATTATTATTAATAGTAAAAACTTAACCTCTGTAAGCGAGAGTCATTGTTCGTTCACGACGGTCGACCTCCATAAGCGAGAAACTCGGATAAGAGAGAAGTGAGAAAAACAACCGCGGTGTCTTGGACTCTCGTGTATCCTGGTTCGACTGTATATCTATTGAAACATTAAACTTTATCATAACTGTTCATTGATTCATAGTTTAATTATTAATCAAAGATTTGTAATCGATTAGAGAAACTTCGACACAGTTATATACGTCGCGTCGAAGAGCGCCTAGAGCAAAAATAAATAATATTATTCAATAGCCAATAAACTATAAAAGTAGACTAACATTCTAAATTAAAATCCAGACACAGTACGCGGGGTTACGGACCACCGTCGTAATTTAAATCGATAAAAAGAACATGATATTACAAAATGTAATTCTGATGCGTTTAGAGCATATTGCTTTATGAAGAGCGGCCGGGGCGGGCGAGCCACGCGGCGCTGCAACAGGTCCCACGCAAATACACCATAAACATTTTTAATACATTGAAATTACGTCCATTTGTGAAACGTATAAAAACGGACATGCAAACTCCACAGGAGACCATCACAACGCTACTTATTTATGAAAAAAGGTCGTATATTTGATTTCACGTCTTCGCAGTTCATCGTTGTTCAAAATATCTGAATAGGGTTCCGTTTTAGTAATTATCACTCGTAAGTACAAAGCACTTTAGAGCGGAACAAAATCATCAGTAATGTTAGACGTACACTCCATTGACGCTCGTGACGTCTTCATCTCATTGTAGCAAACCTCAAGGATCGTATTAACACGGACGATGACAACTGTATAAAAGTCCTTTGTAGGAAGGGTCATTGTGAAGCCGAGAATAGAGCTATAGGGTCCGGATGCCCGCTGCGAGCCGCCCGCCGTGCAGTTTAGCGACGCCTGCACGCACCACGGAAGCGATGTTTACACCTATAGCCGCTCCTAATAGCAGGTAACTCGCCCAATAAAACGACCTTGTTCGAATGTTTCTTCTGAAGGTTTGTCGTGTCTCCCGATGTCTCGTCCTCATCGTGGGTGGATAAAACGTACAAAACAATTCGCACCCAAAATAAAACGGATATAAAATGCCCTCGACGAAATATTTAATGCTCAATTAGATAAGACTTTTAGGTTGGTGGCGTTTGAATTGTTTTCGAGATACGAGCGATTTGTGATTCCAAAATGGGTTGATGTTAATACGATATCTTCGATCGATGCGAATATTCTTTGTCATTTTTGTTCGATCTTTTTTTTATTAACGGTTGCATTCCGTTCCGAGATAGCTCACTTAAAGACTAATTATGTTCGGTGCTTTTTTTGTTGGTAGTTTGAAAACAAATGTCTTTGTGCTGCGTGTGAATGGTGAGCGAGTGGTAGGTGGTAGCGAGTGGTAGCCGGGGGCTTTGTGCCGCACACAATAAGTGATATATGAGCGACGTAATTCTGAATTGTCACAGGAATGCCTCCGTCTCGAGATTCAATGTTAAATTATCACCCATAACATGGCATAACGAAAATGAATTACACCACTTTATTACTTCTATTCTAGTCGTCCTTTTACGATAAAAATTCTCATAAAGTATCCAACTGTCCATTGAGAAGAAAAAGAGAGATTATTATAAGACAAGTGCACCTTCACGACTTAATAAGTTTTACGGTGATTATAACAAAAATCTTGAAATAGAACGATAGTTATAGTTAAAGGCATAGTTATCACTATGACTTTCCAAACAATGTAATCGAATACATCATCATCAGCTCACTATAAGTCTCCACTGAGAGGCTCGGAGCATACCCTGAATCAAGGGTGATTAGACCTTAGACGAACCTGCTGGTCCAGTGCTGGTTAGTTGACTTCACATATATCTTTGAATATCTTCTCAGATATGTGCAGGTTGCATCGCAGAATGATGTTTTCCTTCACCGTAAGAACGTCCGGAATAAATGTATATATGTAAATCGAAAATCGATATTACATGGCGGATTTCGAACCTAAGACCTGCAGATTGCAAGTCAAGTGCTTAAACCACTGAGCCACTGACGCTCTTTTATCGAACACTTCAATTACACTTTAATCGAATACAAAAAGAGAATATTCTATTTGTACTATCACTTCATCAAAATGTAGTAAATTAAAGTCATTAAATTATCGTTTAACTTTAAAAGCAAATAAGCAATCTTTATTATGAGTTCATCGTGTCCGATGCAACGGTCCTCGACGGCATAAAAGCCAAACCGGGTGATTTATGACTGTTTTGAATAATCACGTCACATCAAATTTGAATAAGTTGAATCGCCATAAATAAAGTAAGAACGTTGCGAGGCGCGAAACCATCATAAGTCAATCTTTAGAATTAATCTCACCGGAACACATTTCGATGACTTAACGGTGACGGGAAAAGATTTAATTAGTGTGTTAATTTTGAATTATTTAACTTTTCGAGCCGAGGCGTTCGTCAATTGTCAACATTGATTAAGTCTTATTTATCGCAGGCCAAGGACAGGCTTATGGATTTACGACATTGACTTTTATAAACGCTTAACGCCTCTCCTTAACTGCCAATCGGCGGGAATTATCGCTCTGTGCTCGGTCGCGTTGTAAAACGACTCCAAAACCATTTATTATTCGCACAGATAATCCACCGACAGCACTTTATTAACAGTTATAATAATAATTTACTTTTATTGGTTCACATTAATCATATTTGTTCTTATTTGACTCTGGCTTGATGGGAGCGAAAATGTCTTAATAAAATACGCATAAAATGTCCGGTTTTTTAAATCTTATATTATTATAGATATTATTAAATATGTACTCAAAATTAATGTTTATAGTCTATGTGTCACATTTTGTTGGTTAATTAAGCCTATAGATAAAGTAAATCCGTTTTCATATAATTAAATGCCGTGACTAATGTACCGTCTCCGATGGAACACCTTTACATCTGTCATAATTTTTCTACGTCGAGATTTATTTGCAAAATGCGACAATCGGCTTTGTTGTCGAGGTAAATGATCGACCGCAATGCAAAATATATTATTTTTTTTATAATCACATAAATTATTTCGATATTTTCTTTTATTCAAATATAATATTAACCTAATGTTACTTGAAAAAAATACAACTTGACTATGTTTAGTTAAACACGTGTTTTAACCTTGAAACTAGAGTTGACTTATATATAAACTAAAATGTATAGCAACACTAAATTTTAAGGTTAGACATTTAGTATTTGCCTTAATTATTAAAAACCATAAAAGCGCAATCGTTTAAGTTTCTTTGAGTAATAATAGTAATATTGTATCACAGACGTTGACAGTTAAAATTAATAATAAATTATATAAAACAAGTTGAGGTTAGTCAATGAATCAATTAACAAATCTTAGAAAATCGCGATGAAAATCAATACGATGTCTATAACGCTGTTAAAATTCCTTAAGAAGTAATAAAATTGCGTTATCTTATATCTTGTATGCATAATAAAATTAAAATATCAACATTAAATTCTCAGCGGGCATTCATTTTATCAATCCTAGATATTATCGATTACTATAAGATGTTATTATATTAACTCTCAGCACGTGGTAGCCACCCGTAAAATAACGGATTTCCAATGCCCCACTTTGATATATCGTTATAGTATAAAAACATTAGAATTTGAGAAAAACTTTAACTATTAGGAAGTTAGCAAAAATGCTAAAGCCAGCTATACACTTTCGATTTAACTAAATAGTTCGACTGTTAAAACTATAATTAAAAGTGTACGTCTGTAGCTGACTTGAGAGTTAAATTGGTACTTTAGGAAAAAATAGTGTAAAAGATGACATGAGCAATTGTATTTTCTTAACAATTGACATCAAATGGATAAAAAGGCATAAGAACTACAAACATGATATGTCTATTTTTAAGAGAATATTGGTGAAAGTAATAGTTATATTATAAAATGCGGAATTCAAAGATAAAACTGGTGCTATTTAAATGAGGAAAGGTGTCGCAATCAGAGGCATAATTATAACTCTGTTCAAACAACTACAACTTTTATGTGTCCGTTAAGATGTCAACAGTAAATAGGATTAGCCGAAAGCTATTATTTTACGAGCGTAATTTACGTGTGCCATATTTAATTGGCCCGTGCCTATTTGTTATAGTTAATGCAAAGGAACGTTTCCAACTCATTACAGAAGATAAATGCTCGACTCAGCGAACGTTCGCATTCGGATTCTGCGTCTTGAATTAATTTCGTCCGAGCATTGAATGATGGCGAAATTGACATTAAAATTCCCGCTCGAACATCTCAAGTAATTGCTGAATAAAATACTTTTGTGTAACATTCAAAATGAAAGCACAAAAAGCGAAACCGAAGCGGAGAGGGCCGGTGTGCGCTTGCCGTAATTTATATCAGGACCCACGATGACAACTCAATAAAAAAATGATTTCATTTGCTTATTGAGTTCTTAATAACGTTCAACCTCGCTCTTTCCACATATTGTTAGTATAAATATTTATAAATATGTATAAGTTAAATGCTTTGACAACATTCCTTACTACTGGTGGACATACGAACTGCCGGGACCACCAAGGGTGATGGAATTAATAATTTTGACGGCTTATTATAATATATATGAATCATAATTTTTTGCGTAGTAGATTTGACCTTGAACACTTTTTTTAACATACTATGACATGAATAGTTTATTATTTTTTTTAATAATATTGATTCCTTCAAGTCTTTTTTTTTTAGTTATCGAACACAAGTACATTTTTTACTGATTTTATTACACAAGACTTCTGAATTTGTAAACATTTAACGATCTGCCAATCGGACCACCAAGAGCGATTTAAGAATATTAATTTTAATTGATATTAATTTACATTGTTACTTATATGCATAAAGCATAAGTTTCATTTTAATGAGAACCCAAATTGCATGACAATGTAACTTTAGAGTAGTATAAAATCCTTAATATAAAATAACTCGGATACTTAATATCGATATTCGATAAATCATTACGTTTTATGTACATTAAAATGTGTAAAAATTAAAAAAAAACTTTCATATTTAACTTCGTTCTTTTAATGCATTATCTTATTGTTGGTATCGTACACATAGACCTTGGATATCGATAATTAATCATTAAAAAGTACGCAGGCTATTAAATCGATATTAAGAGAGAGAACTCGATGCGCGCCCCACCACTTGTAATGATCAAATTTATAATCTCCCGTGTGGGTAAGCGCATCTTTTTTTTTCAATCTTCAAGATATACCCTCTTTCTTTTAATTGTATTTTACGAGTATTTGATTCTAATGCTCGAGCCATTAATTATTTATAGTATTCGATACGGGACGAGATTGTGGATTGTGTTGAAGGATAGTCATCATTTTATATAACATTGTTGTGTGAATTCGACCACATTTTATTATACTCAATACTATTTTGTGTATCGAGACGAGATATTAAAATATAAGGATAATATAATACGAAAACAATCTGTTAAATACCAATCGAGAGAATAAAATGGACCCTCGCTACCCGCTGCAATTTGCTGATGAGCTCAAATGTTTTGAATTTAGAAAATTCGATACTTACCCGAGTTAACGATATGAGTTTTTTTTTGCTCGCATGCCCCGAGCATTAATAAAGTTTGATTAAAATACAGGACCCCTCTTATGTTTGGTATGAATTAATTATGAGAATACCGTACATACCTATGTGAGAAATGTCATAAACAATCCGTTGTTATTATCAAAACAACGATATTAAGGTAGGAGTTTGTTTCATTACAAGCCCACGCGCGCATTCTTCAATTCGCTTTAAACAAAAACTTATTTTGATATTCTTAAGTAGATAATTAAAATTTTATTATCTTTTGTGTCATAATATTATGATGATTTATTTAATATTTTATTAACGGTACTGTGAATTGAGTAAATGTTGTCAATTACGAATTTTACCTTTCCATGTGTCAATGTGGTCATCTTCATCAAGTCTATTTTTATTAGTATACAATATCTCGTTCCTTGTGACTTTTGTAAGTATATGTATATATAAGACAATTGATCAACATGTTTTTTTCGATAGGATGCCGTGAGACGGCGTTCATATACGCAATAACGAGCGCCGGAGTGACGCACGCGGTGTCGCGAGCCTGCGCCGAGGGCTCCATCGAGTCATGCACGTGCGACTACTCGCACTTGGAGCGCACACCGCATCGCACCCGCGCCGCCGCCGCCGCCAACGTCCGCGTCTGGAAGTGGGGTGGCTGCAGCGATAACATCGGCTTCGGCTTCAGGTTCAGCCGGGAGTTCGTCGATACCGGCGAGCGTGGCAAGACCTTGAGGGAGAAAATGAATCTGCACAATAACGAAGCCGGCAGAGCGGTAAGTTGACAATCCAGCACTTCTTGGCCATTTTAACTTCCATTTCATGTTCTAACACCTGAGATACGTCGTAAAAGTATAATTATAAAGTCTTAACATGTTAAATTAGAAACGCCGGTCCTCGTTTTCTAATAAGGTTGTTTAATACTACTAGAACATTAACAAACATTAACGTACGTACAGTGGGTCCGTGGCTGGATCATCGTAGACTCGGTAAAAGACTCTAAAGCGACGTTATTAATCGAGAAAGTTAGTAATAAATCCGGTTCGACATCGATTATATCCAGTCGAGTCACGTCTGTGACAAAAACGAGGCAATCAACGGGTAAAAGTTTGTGAGTGATGATTGGATGCCAGCGCACCGATCGGTCGACACTCTTCGTCCAATCGCCACTTGAACGGGAGCCGTTTATAAACATCCATAAAACAATCGCACTCGGACATGTCGCCGCTTCGTGTTTACATTACCATTACGGGTGACGATCGATTGTCAGCCACTTGACATGTCGCTTAAGTCTAAAATTAATTATGCGCCAGACGGCTGCGGCGGTGGCGCGGCCCATCGCGTGGCGACGTGCACCGGGCACCCATTCGTTGCGCTCGCGCTTCTCCCTCCCACCGCACACCCACATTTGCATACCCACTGTCCGTTCCTGCCTAAAATTCATCAAAAAGGATAGACGGACGAAACGAGTCACCCAGGCGCGTCGTTAACTGTTGCACTTAATTCCTGTCACGACACTCGCACTGGGTGTCCGTGCGATGAATATTCACGGCATTCCTTCAATTGTTTAACGCATATTTGGACACTAGAGTCGGGCTCGGCTATCTACATGTGAATGAATAAATACCGTCTGCTTTCTTCGAAGCGCCTGCGCACGGCCCTTGTAAAATATTTACAGTCTCCAACCCCGCGTCATTTATCTACCTTCTTAGAATGATGAATGTCCCTAGAGTATGATTTATGGTGTAGGTTGGCGCGGTGACGACTGGCCCACCTCTCCACGATTTGTAACAATTTGCTTGATCGTAAGATGCGATCGATGGAGTGAGCTTTGTAAACCATCGATCACCTTTCGACTGTTATCGAAGGAATTTATAGATATTTGGACATCATTACAGACCTCCTCGCGAGAATAAACTAATTAGGTTTTCAATGTTTCATCTTTTATTTATGTATATTTTTTGTTGCAGCATGTCCAGTCAGAGATGCGTCAGGAATGTAAGTGCCATGGAATGTCTGGATCGTGCACAGTGAAGACTTGCTGGATGCGCTTGCCGAGTTTCCGTTCCGTTGGCGATGCGTTAAAAGACCGATTCGATGGTGCATCAAGAGTTTTGATGAGTAACTCTGATGTCGAAACTCCCGTACTAAGAAATGATCCTGGAGCGCACAGGGTACCGAGAAGGGATCGATATAGATTCCAGCTCCGGCCGTACAACCCTGACCACAAAGCACCGGGGGCGAAAGATCTCGTGTATTTGGAGTCCTCGCCGGGCTTCTGCGAGAAGAATCCTCGGCTGGGTATCCCCGGCACGCACGGACGCGCCTGCAATGACACAAGCATTGGCGTGGATGGCTGCGACTTGATGTGCTGCGGCCGCGGCTACAAAACCGAGACCAAGTTCGTGGTGGAGAGGTGCAATTGCACCTTTCACTGGTGCTGCGAAGTTAAATGTAAAACGTGTCGTACGGAAAAAGTGGTCCATACATGTTTATAGATAGTCGAACGCTAATGTTGTGTACACGTGTGTGATCACCGAGAGAAACCGCGCCGTGTGACGGCGGTGCCTCGGTCGCGACGGACGCGAGAGTGGACCTGTTTCATCGTGAACAGATAACAAACGGTGTATATAATCGCGTCATTTATTCCTCTTCGGAAGATTTATGTAAATAGTTCTTTCTATGCTACTATTGATTTTTTTATACACTTATAAATGATCGGACCTAAAATGAATATAAACGATTGCTCGTTTAGTTAATTTATTTGGCTATTAAGTGCGAACATGTGATCTAGGAAGTTAACTTTTCTATACGCTGGCGTTAGGATATTAATGAGGCCAGTTTTACGACGATTTATTTCTGTCAGTCCTACCGACTTGCTTACATACGAAATTGGACTTGTTGGTTTCCTTACCCGGCATGAAGCTGTCAAAATTATTGATTCTAATTACCGCGTTGACATGATCTTGATGTTCCGGAGAAACGAGTCAAATCACATTAAACATGGAAGACTACTTTAAATGGTATTAGTCAATATCATTTCAAAGTTTAATATTAATGGAGTTATTTGCCGTTATGTTACGACGGCAATAATAATATCGGCTTTACAAATATTTTTTGTTTTATCGACGCATGCGTCGGGTGCACGGTCGCAATAACTGTTTTAAGGCTCGGGAGCGAAATTATCTTGTAATTATAATTTTATATTAATTATTTGGTGAGTTAATGGATTCTGTGACTTAATATCATTTGCATAAAGTGACTTCTTGGGTGTTCGTCGCCCGAAGCTGCGTTCGGCCCTTATCGGTCAGTAAGTAGCGCCATCGTAAAAGTGTCCCACATTACGAGATAAACGCTCTCGAGAATTTTAATTAAATATTAAGCGAATTAAATAATCAGTATTATACTTATAATAGTGCATGCGTGTTGCGTCCGATACATCTAGATAAAGAAATACGTTGTCAATTGACGCATTGTGCTCATTTTAAATTACCGTTCTTTAAAAAATCTTATTGTATAAAAGCATGTTTAAGTACGTCGTTTTCCTATTGTAATATAGTTTAATTATTTCATTAGTTAGAACTGCGAACTGTTGACTAATAAATACAGTGAAATAAAAAATAAAACTTTCTAAAAATAATTGGGACGTTTTGACATTCATTCAAAAATAGAACTTTATTTATTTATAAATAAAAATATGACAAACTAAGTCGACAGTTTGCAAAAAAAAGCTTTATTAATAAATGTGCGAAGGAGAATGATATTTCAAATGTGATATAAAATTAGGTTAGGGCAGTTGTTAGATAGAATGCCTTACAATTGTATGTATTTCTTAATCCAATCCATGTATTATATTAAGATATTTATTTTGAATAATTTTAATTATATTATACTCTAAATTAATTTTTAGAGTGGAAATTTCATTTTCATTTCAAAATAATCTGATAACGCATTGATGATTTTAAAAAGGCATTTTTAAATCTTACTTGTGTAATGTAACTTAAATTATATCATTATTAGAAGTATTATATACTTTATGTTTTAAAGTATTATACCATTTTGGAGTTAAAAGACTGAGGTGTTAATCGTAGTTATTATCCATGACTTGATCATCATTATCATCAGCTCACTAAACGTCCCCACCGAGGGGCTCGGAGCCTACCCTAAGTTAAGGATGATTAGGCCATAGTCAACCACGCTGGCCAAGTGCGGGTTGGTTGACTTTACACATATCTTTGAATTACTTCTCAGATATGTGCAGGTAAGAACGTCGGATAAATGTACATATGTAAATCGGCAATCGAAAAACACATTGGTACATGGCGGGATTCGAACTCAGGACCTGCAGATTGCAAGTCAAGTACACCACTGAGCCACCGACGCTCCAAGCTGATTAGATCAATAAAACAATAATTAGTTTTTATTTAAAACGAGATCAAATGTGATAAAAAGTATTTTAATATATTTTAAAACTTTCAATTCCGATATTTGTGCCATTTTTTTTTTAAATTTCGCAAAAATCCTTTTTAATCCTGACAGTGTTTTATCATTCCTTAAATAAATACCATTGGTAATAATTTTATGCATGTAAATAGTTTATTTGGATTTTTTTTAACTTATTTATGTGAATTTATTATTTTAATTGTAAATTTAATTTAAATACAATTGAAATCAGCTAAAATAATCTGAATCTCAAAATGTATGGATAGTGGATACATAATTTGTAATTATTTCGTCCAGTGACCGCTTCAGGTTGACACATTGTAATATTTGATGTACATTAGCATTATCTATTTATGATTAAAATATTGTTTAGTTGTTACTAAAAAATACAAAATTGATCAAATTAAATGTCTTTTCTTGAAACCTATTTCAATTAATAATAATAATAATAATAATACAGCCCTTTATTCTGGGAATATTTGATATTATATAGTTACAGGTATTTAAAAAATTTATAAGATGTCCCTAATCTCAGTGTGCCTCTTGGCTTAGGCCTCCTTTAAACATTTCCATTGTTGCCTGTCTTGTGCGACACTCCTCCAGTATTTTAATTATTGGGAGTAATTGTTTCCTAAGGCACTACTGAAGTTTTCATTCAAGCTATTTAAAATGAAATTAGTTGTCGCCGCGTTTACGTCTGCGAGGAATTCAATAAAAAAGGGTCTTGACAGACAGACGGACAACAGAGTGATCCTATAAGGGTTCCGTTTTTTTCCTATGAGATACGGAACCCTAATTAGTAGCTTATATGTTCTCTAGGCTATGTTCCACATCTATGCCAAATTTCATATAGATTCGTTCAGCCATTCTGGAGATTCAAACAAACATTCATCCATCTAATATAAACATTCGCATTTATAATATTAGTAAGATGTGTAAAGTTTAAGCTTATTATTTTTACCCTATACTGCTTGTTGGTAAAACGATGTTGATAAAATTTGTAAGCAAGCAAACAAGAAATCACCAGACAATGAAACTTTTGAATGTAATTTGTTATAATCAATAAAACCATAAAATTGATTACGTTTGCATGTAAACATCGTAAAAAAAGTTAATCCATTTTATTGTGGTATGAAGCTGCTGTTAGAATCTAAATTCTGTAGAAAAAGTAAGGGTTTATGAAAATTTTGAGGAAACAAAATGCTGTGTTTTTATTCAAAATGTTAACTTATATTTACATATGTTTAAAAGCAACGCGTAAGTATTTTATTACTAGAACAAGTATCGTATGTGCATTTGATAGTGCGCAATTTTCTGAAACGGCTTTATTTTCTTAACAAAGATTAAACAATGTTAACATAAAATGGACTTTATCAGAAAGTAGTAAGGTGTATTTTTATCCGTGCTGTTGTTGATAGTGAAAAGTCAATCGGTGTTGGTGGTCGACGGAGCCCGAGGCTTGTTCCCACGAGTATCTTGCACACTGGAAAATTTATGGTTATGAACTGAGAAATCTGTCATAAGAGATACGTATAGCGTACCTGAATCTGAAATAGCGTGAATAATTTTTCATAAGGACCCCGATATAGGAGTCTTTGGTTAGAATTTTTCCTAAGAAAAATTACTTGTGCGTTAATCATTCTCGATGTTATTTATTTGACGATTTTGTATACGTTTTGACTTATAACACATTCCCACACGCACACAGTTAGGTAACGGCCATTTCAAATTTATACCTTATTAAAGTTACATTTTAAATCGCGCCGTACCTTGTTGATATTTTCGCAATAAAGTCGACGCATTTAATTTTGATATTTGCACACGTATTTGGACATGCGTCGACGTTTGTCGCAGAAATGTTTTATTTTTATTTGGTTATTATTTATTTGTCTGATAATGAGTAAGTTATTTATGTTTTAACCTTTAATTCCCACAATTACTGTTCAGTTACTATTTCTGTACTATTAAGAGACTTCAAATTTATGACGTCAATGATTAAATTAATCTGTCTCTTGATATTTGCAATTTATCCTATAAGCTGTCGCCCACGACCCTGTTCGGGCGGAATTAAAAAAAATAGTGGCATATGTGTCCTTCCAGATTATGTTCTTCATCTATGCCAAATTGAAACAAACATCCATCCATCCAAACATACGCATTCATAATAACAGCAAGACTAAAATCCGTATATACAGATTTTCTAGTTCTAAAAATCTTTGTCTTCCTTTCTTATTTTGTTCTTATGGAGGTTCTAAGAAATCTATATCTTAAAAAACGTATAAGCACATAAATGCAATTTACTACGACATACTTATTGAGAGTTATAAAATGTTGTCATAATGTCATCCAACAATGTTCCCCCGAATGAGACACTAAAATCACAACTAAAAATTCGACAATAAATTCGCAGCAGCGCCTGATTTCCTTGTGATTATACAAAACGTCGTATCCCACGGGAACTTGTATCGTAAAAAGTGACATATAACATGGTCAGATACATACGCCTTCCAATGAAAGGTCTTTCTTTATTCATACGCAGTAGGAAGCGGGACCGCCTGTGGCAATTCTAAACACTTTTAAATCTTTTACCTTGAAACAATTTCAAAGTACAATGACCCCTAATGTTATCTTGTTTAATTAATTTATAACATCTCTGATTCATCATGTTATTTGGATTTTTAAAGTTTCTTAATTATTTACTAGCTGTCGCCTGCGTCTCCGTCTGCCCTGAGTTAAAAAAACTTAATTAGTAGCATGTGTTCTTCCAGACTATGTTCTACATCTATGACTTCAGCATGATTCGTTGCACTGTTCCGAAGATACCTTCAAACAAACATCCATCCAAACATTCGCATTTATAATATTAGTTAAGATTGATTACTTCAGCTATTTTATATACACGTTTCGTAATATTCCACTCGCTTTATTTTTTTTAATTGCAATAAAAAGATAAAATAAACTAGACTATGTTCCGTTATGATTTCTATGAGACGTACGCCTAAGTAGATTGGTAATGTTTTTTTTATTTAAATCAATAAAAATTATTAAATGGTTTAAAAATAACGGTTGAAATTGGATTTAATTACATATAAGAGAGAAATGTAGGTGATTAACATAAAAAACTATAGAATTAGTGCATTTTTTACACATTTACTGTTATATAAGTAAAAGATGAAAAAATCTTCCGCCATTTTTAGACATTCGAAGTTCTAAATTGTTCATAATCGTACTAAGGCTTAGAAATGTATTTTACATTGTTACGTGGAACTAAGTTTTAAAGTGGAATTTAACTGTAAAGAAGTTTCTATCATTCCTTACATTCTGCTGGCCATATTTAAACGTGCATAAATAAAATGGGACCTAGTAAATTTTAAATACAGACCCTTTCTGACAGGATTTTGTAATTCCTAAGTAGTTCTGTATTTTCTCACTCAATAGTCGTATGTCAGATTTTTTCTACTATTTCAGAATATCAGAATTTAACAAATGCTTCGAGGTATAGTTATTTATATGATACTTACGCAAGATCTTCATTCCGTAAATCCAACTTACCATCAAGGAGAGATATGCGAGTGATCAGAGACAACACCAATTTGCCGAGCGGACTCGAAGACGCTGAACCGGGGTTCGATCTCACCGAAGATGAAATGAGGAAATTTAAAATATGGCCACAAGGAAATATACCCTATTATATTGATGATTTCTCTTTTGGTAATATATTTATAACAACATCTACAGACAGTCAGTACTCTTTTTTCACATATTCCTTATAGGAAGGTGACGTGACTTTATCGGTCTTCACAACTCCTTCCGTGATCGCCGCGTCTTTGTTCCGTAGGGCAATACGGATGTTGTTTTCTAATACGTGCTATGTTAGTAATACTTACCGTGTTTGACTTTTGTTCTAAGTGCTTAATAGGATGACACGAATAGCAAACTTGTTTGCAAGTGACTGCTACTCCTCATTGCAAATCGACTGTCTTCATCCCCTTTTTTTAGGCCAATTTTGGCTAAATAATAATGCATAGTCTTGTATAGTCTGTTGTTTATTTTCTCCAGTATTGATGATTTTTGCTTATAGATAAAGTACTCCGGGATAGAATTCGTAATTACCTTGACCTTACAAACCGCGTAACTGGACTTCGATTCATGGAGCTGCCGAAACCACCGACCGATGAGAAAACCAGATGGGTGCTTTTTGTAAATCGTCAAGGCTTGCTAAATTGCGCAGATCACTCTATTAAAGATTTCACTAACGAAGGAGTACAGGTACTTCTTGTAAGACAAAATTGGCGTAGAAATTTACAATAAATAATTTTTGATTACTTTGCTTACAGAAAGTAATTTTGGGATATGATTGCTTAGTGACCGGCGGAGAACTAGCAGAAGCCATACTTGCCTTAGCTGGGGTACCACCACAACATAATGCTCCTGACCGTAACGAATACATTACTGTAAACCATGAAAATATTTTACCAGGTATTTTGTTTCGAAATTTCCCTATATTTTTTAAATTCTGTAACGTATACTTTCTGAAAAATAGTATTTAATGTAAATAGTTTTATGCTTTTTATCAAATTTGCAGAAAAATATCATTTGTTCAAAGCTGTCGAGGATAATGAATGGTTATTTCATGATATACCTTACGACTATAGTAGTGCTGGCCACTACTCATTTCATAAATATACCAAAAATGGTTTTGCTACTGTAGAACTTAAGGTTTGTAATATACATATTTAACAAAATTTGATATTTAACTTGAAGAAGTTGTACGCACATACACTAGAACACCTAAATTTAAAACTTGTTAACTAACTTTAATATTTAATCTAATTAGCAAAATTAATAGTGCAAACAAAAAGCATAAACATTTTTTTTTCTAATTGTTTTTCCCTTGTATTTAAAGTGTCTCTCTAAGAATATACGAATTCATTTTTTAGAAACAAATTAATATTCTTCCCGGAGAAAGTAAAGGATTCAGTTATAATGACATTTGGAAAATAAGGATGCTTTACAATTATAATTCAAGGAGGAAAGCTTATTCTATAAAAGCTTCCGATTGTATTAAGCTTTTTGAATTTGGTGCTAATTTTAGTAACTATGAACCAATGGTAGAAGATACGATTGAACCCAGAAAAAAGCCCAATAAATATTTAGGGCTGGCTGAAGACAAACCTATAGAAGAAAATACATTTGATGATAAGGAACCAGAAGCTAATAAAGACTTGGATACCGATGATAGTAAAGATGAAAATGAAGGAGAGAAACCAAAACCTGACGACGTTGATGATGAAAAAGATAATAAAACAGTAAATGGTACAAAGAAAAAATTAATAAAAGAAAATACTATAAAGAAATACTTAAATAAAGTAAATGAGGAATCAAATGAAGAAGAGGGAAACCAACAAAACCAAATTATACAACTAAAGCACGTTCTCAAAAAGTCAAGTGATCCATTCCGTGACATTTCTGATTTTGAATCTTGGGAAACAACAAGAACTTTGCAAAGAATATTTACCAAGATGAAAGGATAATACAAAAATAAAATGATTGCTATGTTTAATAATAACCAAATATAATCTATCACATTATAGACACGTTTGTATATCTCGCTTAATGTAACAAGTTTGACAAATTACTTCGCAGCACCATTTAAATTGGCAATTACAGTTTTCTGACTCTTTGATTGTAGTTTGTTTGTATCCTCGCCTGCAACAAAGTTGGTCACAACTGTCCGTTCCGGCAGAACTGATGTTGCATTGACGACCTTCTGTACCTAAAGATCCAGTCTTCATATTAGGTGTACAAAAATCTGGCGATTCCTCGGAGTAAATTATATCTTTCTTGCCAGGACTCTTTAGGTTGGGACTCTCTGGCATAAAACCTTCCCCATTGTTGTTCGATATTACCTGTGAAAGAAATAAATAATATCACAAAAAGTATTGACATGTACATAATAAATGTTCACTGTATAAAGTACATCATTTGATTCTTGTTATCAACGTACCTTTGAAGCTCCTTCAAATCTGTCACGGAGTCGATTACCGATTTCCCTAAAAGCTGGCATTCTCCACCAGCAGGTTCGGAGAGTACATGAACCTGACAGTCCATGACATTTGCATTCTACCCTCATGTTATTTTTGATCGCCTGGAAACAAAACAATGTTAACATCAACGAAATTTTTATCAAAAAGTGATTGAACTTAAGTTATCAGTGTAGTATTGATTCCGATATTGAGTAAGTGTTTAACGTACTTTGATTACTAAATAATCAATATTCCCAAAATTAAAAAAAAAACTAGTTTATTTAACAACTCAGAGATGATGCAATTTACAGATTTTACGTTAAGTAAACAAATAGTTACTAACCAACCTCCCAGCGTTATGGTTGTGGAGTTTTATTAAAGTCTTTATGTTATCACTTCGTTTCTTGTAACGACTGTCCATAAATTCCCTGGACTTAGTCAGGCCAAAGCGTATGTTATCACTGCAGCCTCCCCATTGCCACCGCTCCGTTTCCACTGGGGAAGGAGGAATGGGTACCTGCGTAACCTTTCCGCGACGTGGTTTGGGTACTTCCTGAAAAATGTGTTAAGTTATTATTTTATACGAACATACCACTGCTAAAATTTCAACGAAATCTGTGTAAAAAAACCAATGAAGTACCGTAAAGCAAATACTAGTGGGTGTGCTTTAGTATTAGCTTTTGTTTTAAAAAGGAAAGTAGCCAGCGCAACAGGAGGTTCTTATCCCTTCTAATATCATAGAAGATATCTGTACCTTTTCACAAGAGCACTCTAACAAGGCTCCCGCAGTGCAGGCTCGTGTGATGGCGTATGTCACCCCAGCGGCGGTGATCGCGTTCACGAAGCCCGTTTCTCGAGTATCTGGTACGAAAATATTTAAAGTAAAGAAAGGAGATTTTCACAGCTTGAAAAATAGATTTATGCCTTACCTAAATATATAGTATAGTAAGAAGAGTAAACAACGATTAGGAACAATAAAGATTGTGTAGACTCGCACTGTACACTTGATATTATTGTTTAGTCTATTGGACATTTAAGGTAATAAAATGGTTACCAACCAAGCCAATACACTAATAATTTCAATATTTTTAAGGTGTAAATTAGATACAGTATGGTGTTTATAACATTTTGAATTAAAGGCACGGCAAAGTTAAGCTTACGTTTGTTGAGAAATTGTATTTATTTACCTAGAAATGTCTTAGATTTATTAAAGGTATTCTAAACACGAAATCAATTTTAAATTCACTCATTTCAACAGCATTTGAAGTGGTAAAATCTCGTTGAAAATAGCAATAATATAAATTTTCATGACGAATAATAAGTTAAGCGTTGTGCAAAGACTACAAACGCGACAAGCATTTAAATTGATTCTAAATGATTCAGTTTTATAAGGTAGAAATACCACAGTTTTATTTCTCAAGACAAGTGTTGTTATGTCACATGCAATTTAACACGTAATAAATAGTTTGATTGTGTATTCCAAGTGGTCATTGGTACGCCTCGGGGTATAGAAATAAAATGCAAAAGACGACACATAAAGCGCCTACACAATGATACAAAGTGAAGCTGTTGACCCAAAAATCAATATTCACACGACTCTTGTAATAAACATCGATGAGCTTTACGAATCGAAGGTTCCATCCATAAAACATTTAGGCGTGAGACACGGCCGTCTGGTTCGTCGAACCTAAATAATGAATATGAACAAGCGAACCAAATTAAATGTTTAAATCGTCAAAATTAGAGTTGCAAAAAATTTGACTTATACACCTGGCCTAAGAAAACTGAACACGATACCTAATTAAGAAAAATAACGATAGAAATACAAAACAAACGAGATCAGAAGAAATGTAAACATTGAAACATCATTAATGTGAATTTAGGGGAATTAAATGAATAATTTATAAACAAAAAACTCCAATTAAAATCGTAAACAACGAATTTATTTGAGACTACGTACAATTAAAAAACATAATCAAATGTAAACAATTTAAAAATGGGTTCTATTGTGTCATATGTAAAAGTTAATAAAACAAAAAATCATAAAGATGTCGTGCTAATGTTAGGTAAAATTGAAAACAAAATACAAGTTTATCAAGTTAAAACAGCAAAGACAAAGAATCGTTAAATCTAGTACTTGTAGTTATATTTTAACAAGCTGTAATTCAGCAATAATAGTTGTTCGAGCGTTGGCGTCAATGAATCGAACACCGGCACCTGGCTATAACAATTAATGGCAGGTCAAACGATGTTGGATGAATATTCAGACGGCATGAATAATTTGAAAATTGCTGCGCCAGTCATCTACTGAATATGCGCCGGACATCAACTGAATGGACTCTGTTTTTGTTTAGGTCGATGACTTCATATTGATGGCTTTCAATTATATTGCTCGGGGATTAGTTTCGTATAAACTTGATTTAGCTCTTTGATAGGCGTGCTTTCTTTGCTTTGATTTACAACCGTTTGATTGGTTTTACGTAACGTTATAGCTTTTAAGTTATTTCTTCTATTTTAGCTTATTGGTATAAAGATCTGGTCGATGAGAAGAATTTATTTAATGGTCAGCGTTGGAAATTGTTTTGCTAATTTGTTCTATTAAGAATGTTTTGAATGGGTCTTTACGTAAGTTTAGAATAGTTAACTTTATTACTGATAGACTAATTTTAGATTAATATTTATGCGGATTATAGACAAACTTTATTGTTTCAAAATTTAAACTTTAAACGTTTTTTAGGGGATTGGCTCGTTGGTTTTATTGTTCTGTTAGTGTTTTCGGCGACACTTTTCGCTTTTTGCAATTCTTCAAATAGACAGTTAACGAAAATTGTGAAAGATCGTTGGAGATCCAAACCGTCCATTTTCTATTGAGCTCGCTTATGATTGAGGGAGAGAAACGTAAGAGAATTGTTCTATAAAGAAATTTTGATGTATTCAATTATTCTTCAGGGACTGGATAGAATTTAAATGACTGACAATTTTAACTAAGGCAGCAGGTTTTTGAAGAGTGCCTTTGACATTTTGAATTTTATTTTATAACAGAAGGGGGCAAACGAACAGCGGGAACACCGAGGTGTTCAACGACGATTATTACACGTATTACGTGTATTACACTCACCCAGATCTTTTTTACAATGTTAAAAAGATTTTGTTATAATTTAAAATTAATTTATCAATGTTCACATAGACAAAGTGTAAACCTAAGTCTCAAAACTCAGTAGGTTAAATTGACCTCCTTAATTTACAAGGATGCAAAAACGTTAGTATTTCTGACACTATTTTTCATACAGAAATGTATTAAAGATGCCAAAGTGAAAATTAAAATTGAAGTGTAAAATTACGCGCTAAATGTCATTACGTTATACAAGATACTACATGATATCAAGCGCAAATAGTGAGAGGTTGGCCACTTTTCTCGAAGTTTAGATTGACTGGTTTATCGTATATGTATAGGTAGATGATTGAACAGAGTTATTAGAGAGATCAAACGTCCATAGTGCAATGAGTCGGTCACTATGTGTCGGTCACTCTATGTCGGTCTCTCCGTGTTGGTCACTCCACATCGATTGTGTCAATTGCCTCGAGCGCGTCCGTCCCGCTCCGTCGATCGCTGTAATTGCATGCACGCTTATATACTCGACCTATCACTAGATTAACATGCAAATACTTTGACAACGAATGCTAATGCTAAGCGATTATATAGGCATAAATCCATGTCAAAGCAAGCAGTAAATGTTTTTGTCCGATCCGATTTAGATTATTCTGACGAATGCTTTGTAATTCTTAATATCAAATGTAAATAATGTGAGTATAATTCTAAATTCTTGTCAAGATTTAAATTCAAGCAGTTGTTCGATATCACAAGCACATTCTAGAGGTTAACTCGGCTGGGCGATAGTACGGAGGCATTCATTAAGTGCAGATTAGATAACCGCGACTCTTACGCAATGCGGGGCAGAAGACAGGAGATCGAATCGGGCGCTCGATCGATCCCATGCTAATTGGGCCCGTGTGCCGCGCGACGACGCCGTATCGTCCTCGCATTCCGCCACCCGTCCGAGGAGATACAGGGAAATTTATTGCACAAACAATTTATATAATTGACGTGCGACAAAAAAGCGAGAGTGCACACACATCCGACGCAGAATTCAGCCGGTAATTACACCGCGTCACCGCTCCTCGTCCGCAATACATGTAGGCATTTTTATCAGACAGCGATTAAATTTTGCAAGAGAGCAGAGAATACAAGGATGCGTCCTCGGTTGGAATTATGAAAGGAATGTCAATTTCGAGATATTTTGCTAGTCGTTTAGGGGTAAAAAAGTGGCGAGTCGGAGTGCGCGGGGTGCGGAGTGCGGAGCAGGGAGGCATGGGAACACGTCCGCCCCGCGCGGATTCCTCGCACGCCGCGCTTTTTCCCGGCGCGCGGCGGGCCGTCGATAGGGCGGCGGCCGGCGCGGCCGCGACACTCCGCCGTCATTATAAATCCGTGGCGATGGCGGCGCGCTCAGAGCGGGGCATTCCGCTC